TCACCACTCAGTGTAACAATATCACATACCCTCACCACTCAGTGTAACAGTATTACTCTCACCACTCAGTGTAATAATATCAAGTACCCTCACCACTCAGTGTAACAGTATTACTCTCACCACTCAGTGTAATAATATCACGTACCCTCACCACACAGTGTAACAGTATTACTCTCACCACTCAGTGTAATAATATCAAGTACCCTCACCACTCAGTGTAACAGTATTACTCTCACCACTCAGTGTAATAATATCAAGTACCCTCACCACTCAGTGTAACAGTATTACTCTCACCACTCAGTGTAATAATATCACGTACCCTCACCACTCAGTGTAACAGTATTACTCTCACCACTCAGTGTAATAATATCACGTACCCTCACCACTCAGTGTAACAGTATTACTCTCACCACTCAGTGTAATAATATCACGTACCCTCACCACTCAGTGTAACAGTATTACTCTCACCACTCAGTGTAACAATATCACGTACCCTCACCACACAGTGTAACAGTATTACTCTCACCTCATTACCCTTTTCCATACTTTGTGTGAAACAATGGAATAAATCCAAACACAAAATAACAGGTAAACCAACTGAGAATTTTTTTCCACATCGTAATCAAGTCAAACTATAAATTTGAGAAGATTGTATCAATTAATATATTGCAAATAAAACATAGTATCATGAGAAATTTGCTGCCTCGGTAACACTAATGGTCCTGTTTGTTGCTTGTCACCTAAGTGTTGCTGTTGTAAACGTCTGTTGTTGATTATTGTTGCTTGTCACCTAGGTGTTGCTGTTGTTGATTGTTGTTGCTTGTAACCTAGGTGTTGCTGTTGTTAATGTCTGTTGTTGATTGTTGCTGCTTGTCACTTAAGTGTTGCTGTTGTTAATGCATGTTGTTGTTGTTGCTTGTAACCTAGGTGTTGCTGTTGTTAATGTCTGTTGTTGATTGTTGCTGCTTGTCACTTAAGTGTTGCTGTTGTTAATGCATGTTGTTGTTGTTGTTGCTTGTTACCTAGGTGTTGCTGTTGATAATATCCTTTGCTTGCTGTTTCTTGTCACCTAGGTGATGTTGTTGGTAATATCCGTTGCTTGCTGTTTCTTGTCACCTAGGTGATGCTGTTGGTAATATCCGTTGTTTGCTGTTGCTTGTCACCCAGGTGATGCTGTTGATAGTATCCGTTGCTTGCTGTTGCTTGTCACCCAGGTGATGCTGTTGATAGTATCCGTTGCTTGCTGTTACTTGTCACCTAGGTGATGCTGTTGGTAATATCCGTTGTTTGCTGTTGCTTGTCACCCAGGTGATGCTGTTGATAATATCCGTTGCTTGCTGTTTCTTGTCACCTAGGTGATGCTGTTGGTAATATCCGTTGTTTGCTGTTGCTTGTCACCCAGGTGATGCTGTTGATAGTATCCGTTGTTTGCTGTTGCTTGTCACCCAGGTGATGCTGTTGATAATATCCGTTGCTTGCTGTTGCTTGTCACCCAGTTGATGCTGTTGATAGTATCCGTTGCTTGCTGTTACTTGTCACCTAGGTGATGCTGTTGGTAATATCCGTTGTTTGCTGTTGCTTGTCACCCAGGTGATGCTGTTGATAATATCCGTTGCTTGCTGTTTCTTGTCACCTAGGTGATGCTGTTGGTAATATCCGTTGTTTGCTGTTGCTTGTCACCCAGGTGATGCTGTTGATAGTATCCGTTGTTTGCTGTTGCTTGTCACCCAGGTGATGCTGTTGATAATATCCGTTGCTTGCTGTTGCTTGTCACCCAGTTGATGCTGTTGATAGTATCCGTTGCTTGCTGTTGCTTGTCACCCAGGTGATGTTGTTGATAGTATCCGTTGCTTGCTGTTGCTTGTCACCCAGGTGATGCTGTTGATAGTATCCGTTGCTTGCTGTTGCTTGTCACCCAGGTGATGTTGTTGATAGTATCCGTTGCTTGCTGTTGCTTGTCACCCAGGTGATGCTGTTGATAGTATCCGTTGCTTGCTGTTGCTTGTCACCCAGGTGATGTTGTTGATAGTATCCGTTGCTTGCTGTTGCTTGTCACCCAGGTGATGCTGTTGATAGTATCCGTTGCTTGCTGTTGCTTGTCACCCAGGTGATGCTGTTGATAGTATCCGTTGCTTGCTGATGCTTGTCACCCAGGTGATGCTGTTGATAGTATCCGTTGCTTGCTGTTGCTTGTCACCCAGGTGATGCTGTTGATAGTATCCGTTGCTTGCTGTTGCTTGTCACCCAGGTGATGCTGTTGATAGTATCCGTTGCTTGCTGTTTCTTGTCACCCAGGTGATGCTGTTGATAGTATCCGTTGCTTGCTGTTGCTTGTCACCCAGGTGATGCTGTTGATAGTATTCGTAGCTTGCTGTTGCTTGTCACCCAGGTGATGCTGTTGATAGTATCCGTTGCTTGCTGTTGCTTGTCACCCAGGTGATGTTGTTGATAGTATCCGTTGCTTGCTGTTACTTGTCACCTAGGTGATGCTGTTGGTAATATCCGTTGTTTGCTGTTGCTTGTCACCCAGGTGATGCTGTTGATAGTATCCGTTGCTTGCTGTTACTTGTCACCTAGGTGATGCTGTTGGTAATATCCGTTGCTTGCTGTTGCTTGTCACCCAGGTGATGCTGTTGATAGTATCCGTTGCTTGCTGTTGCTTGTCACCCAGGTGATGCTGTTGATAGTATCCGTTGCTTGCTGTTGCTTGTCACCCAGGTGATGCTGTTGATAGTATCCGTTGCTTGCTGATGCTTGTCACCCAGGTGATGCTGTTGATAGTATCCGTTGCTTGCTGTTGCTTGTCACCCAGGTGATGCTGTTGATAGTATCCGTTGCTTGCTGTTGCTTGTCACCCAGGTGATGCTGTTGATAGTATCCGTTGCTTGCTGTTTCTTGTCACCCAGGTGATGCTGTTGATAGTATCCGTTGCTTGCTGTTGCTTGTCACCCAGGTGATGCTGTTGATAGTATTCGTAGCTTGCTGTTGCTTGTCACCCAGGTGATGCTGTTGATAGTATCCGTTGCTTGCTGTTGCTTGTCACCCAGGTGATGTTGTTGATAGTATCCGTTGCTTGCTGTTACTTGTCACCTAGGTGATGCTGTTGGTAATATCCGTTGTTTGCTGTTGCTTGTCACCCAGGTGATGCTGTTGATAGTATCCGTTGCTTGCTGTTACTTGTCACCTAGGTGATGCTGTTGGTAATATCCGTTGCTTGCTGTTGCTTGTCACCCAGGTGATGCTGTTGATAGTATCCGTTGCTTGCTGTTGCTTGTCACCCAGGTGATGCTGTTGATAGTATCCGTTGCTTGCTGTTGCTTGTCACCCAGGTGATGCTGTTGATAGTATCCGTTGCTTGCTGATGCTTGTCACCCAGGTGATGCTGTTGATAGTATCCGTTGCTTGCTGTTGCTTGTCGCCCAGGTGATGCTGTTGATAGTATCCGTTGCTTGCTGATGCTTATCACCCAGGTGATGCTGTTGATAGTATCCGTTGCTTGCTGTTGCTTGTCACCCAGGTGATGCTGTTGATAGTATCCGTTGCTTGCTGTTGCTTGTCACCCAGGTGATGCTGTTGATAGTATCCGTTGCTTGCTGTTGCTTGTCACCCAGGTGATGTTGTTGATAGTATCCGTTGCTTGCTGTTGCTTGTCACCCAGGTGATGCTGTTGATAGTATCCGTTGCTTGCTGTTGCTTGTCACCCAGGTGATGCTGTTGATAGTATCCGTTGCTTGCTGTTGCTTGTCGCCCAGGTGATGCTGTTGATAGTATCCGTTGCTTGCTGTTGCTTGTCACCCAGGTGATGCTGTTGATAGTATCCGTTGCTTGCTGTTGCTTGTCACCCAGGTGATGCTGTTGATAGTATCCGTTGCTTGCTGTGATGCTGGTGTTAGCACTGAATCAACTGATGCGACTCTAACTTCTATGTTATCTCTTTTAGAGGCTCATTAAGAGCCTCATAAACACTGTGTGAGGGCTTACAGAGTGACTTCAGATCACAGTGTGTGTGTGGTAGAGTACTTGGCTCATTTCACTCGGTGTAAAACACTTTACGTCCCGATATACCGCACGCAGCGGTGTTTCTCCGCAATAGGGAGGTACCACCAGAGCAAGAGAACACAGCGGGAAGCGATAAAGCGGTAAGGGTCACGCAGCGGCTGGAGTATGGAAGATTTGATCCAAGAAAGGGGAGTGTTGAAAATCCCTTCACCAACATTCAACAGCAGGGGGATGAGGGGACATGTATTGTTCAGGAACAACACGGACGCGTGTTCATTAATTATTTTATTATTATTATTATTATTATGGTATTGTAATGAGAAGACGTTTCGCCCACCAACGGTTCCGTCGATCGATTGAAATCTCTGGTGTACGAAACGTTATCGCAACGTGTATGCTCAAGTGCGGAGAGGAAACTCTCGGCGACGTTTCGGTCTGTCTTGGACCATAGTTAATGGTCCACGACCATGTTATTGGTCGTTGACGGAGTAAAAACGTAGTTAAAAGTTTTTCTCCCACCACGGTGTGGGCAAGTTGTGATTCGCGTGGAATTTGCCTAAAGGAATCAAATCCCACTAATGGGATCAAATCTGCCAATAGGATCTCATCCCACTAGCTCTGGAGAATAGAAGACATTAATTTAATCTCAGTAGGATTTACCATTTCGGATGGAGACGGTTTATTATTATTATTATTATTATTATAGTAGTAGTAGTAGTAGTAGTAGTAGTAGTAGCAATAGTAGAGGTGAAACAGCGTCTATTAAGCTGCACAGAAACCTAGTCACTACTTCCCCATGAAGGCAAGTAGCCAGGTACCTATAACTTTCTTTAACTTGCCTCAGCTATTTCAATGCGTCTCTGCTGTGTCTACGTGTGTCTGCTGTGTCTATGTAATTCTGCTGTGTCTACGTGTGTCTGCTGTGTCTATGTAATTCTGCTGTGTCTACGTGTCTTTGCTGTGTCTTCGTTTCATTATTCTGTATTTCATGGTTCACTCACCTCGTCTGTAGGAATGGACAGGCAGTGGGACCAACACACTGGTTTAAGTAGTCAGTGGATCGAGATTAAACCAGTCCCTCATCAGTATGCACTTGTTGAATCATTGTTTTATGTGTCTGATGCGTGTCGATGATTTGACGGTGGTAGTTTGGTGGTAGTTGCGGTGGTGATGGTGGTAGTTGTGGTGGTGGCTGTTGTAGAGCAACAGTGGTAGATGATGGTAGCAGTTATCGTGGGAAGTGACAGTAGTTGAGGTGGAAAATGGTGGAAGCTGTGGTGGCGATGGTGGTAGTTGTGGTAGATGTGGTAGTTGGGATGCAACAGGGGTAGCTGCGGTGTCACCGGCCGCGGCGACACCGATAACAGCTTTCAAACAACAACACCTGCCCCTCTGAACTCCTGAACACAGCACAAGTTCACTATTGTCCGAGGAACTACAAATTCTGTCTGGTCATGAACAGCGAACTTAAAACAAGAACTTTCAAATATCTCTTATCAGTCAGCTTCTCTCACTTAACTGTTTCTCAAGATATTTCTCACGCCAGCAGTATCCATATTTCTCTTACTGAACGAAAGCACTTCGTCAGTTCCAGTATCCTGGTCCTTTTTTCTAAATGCGAGTTTTTAAACTTTCTCAATAGGGATTCCGACTGTCCTCGATAAACAAAAGTTTTCGCAAGATTTTCACCAGACGAAGTAACTACCACTCACTGTGTCTCCCTCGAAGATTTACGCAAGTGTTCTCCGGAACAACACCCCGTAGAAAAAGGGAGCCATATGCAACAATACGCAACACCTCCACTGGAGAACGTTCCATAATAAGTTCTAACTCCTCAGTAAGGCATTGTAAGGATGTCTAGCGTTGGAGGGGTCGTTGGAGGTGTTGGAGGGGCGAGGGTTGGAAGAGGTGTGGCCTCGGGGAGGGAGGGAAAAAAGAGAGGAGGGGAGGGAGAGGTGAACAAGCGCGTCTGGGCGGACCGACATGTGTGGACGCTGGGGAAGGAATGTTCGCTTCACTTTAGCCTCAGCTGTTATTATGGACCAGCAGCGCCCACTGCGCATGTGCCCACCATTCGTAATTATATTGTACATTATATATATATATATATATATATATATATATATATATATATATATATATATATATATATATATATATATATATATATATATATATATGCATATATAATGTGTGTGTATGTATGTATGCATTTGTGTGTATGTGAGGAGTTGTGTACTTATTATGTGTGTTCTTTCAATTTCCACTAAGTCTGCCTTTGTTGTATCGTCTCTCTCACTCTCTCTCACTCTCTCTCTCTCCCTCCTTACCCCTTCTTTCTCTCTCTCTCTCCAAAAATGTTAACAATGGCTGCATTCTCCCAGAAATTAATGGCCCACACTAAATTTCACGTTCTATACGAGAAGATTTGACTCAATGTACAATCATTGTGTAAAAATCCTTAGCCAGATTTAATCTAAGGAAGGGTAGAATAGCTCCAATTCCTAGGATTAAGAGACCTTTACCACCAGCAGAGGCATCTTCCTACCTCTCAATAGGGTCAATAACTCTAAGCCTAACTTTGCAACACAGTAATGCAATTGAAAACTTTTTTTCAAATATAGTTAAGCGCCTTAATAAAGTTTGCTCAAGGGGCTTTTGTTTACGTTTGAGATCAGTTACAACAGTCTTTTATTTATTGGTAACTCTGTGGGGTAACCCACAAGTAATCTGAAAAACTACCGTAGTGCCAACAACTAGACACAAATGCGATATACTGCGATCCTTTATTAACAACATTTCGCCCATACTGTTTTTAACGTTGTGAATAAAGGATCACATAACTGTATCTCTTTTTCCACCTTCCATAATACGCAACACACAAATGACCCGCACACGGGAAACAGGAGCTTAGGACGACGTTTCGCACACTCTTGGACCATTTACAAAGTCACGGTATTGTGCCTTTTGTGTTTTCCCCAATGCAGTAGGTAAACCTGGGAAAGACAGACAGCAAAGGACTTGGAAGGCCACACCGAGGCTGTCTGCTGAGAAGGACCACCTTCCTCCACCTAGATTGAGAACTGTCGCGTATTATCTAGGTGTGTGAGTCAAGTATAGTAAAGCAGAAGGCTCTCCACCAGAGGCCGGGTTTAGTTAAATGACAAATGACTTAGTAGCCTCTATTGTACGAATAACAACATCACAGTCACTGAGTGTAACAACAGTCACGGAATTTAACAGCAACCCCATAATAAGTCACAAAGTGTAACAGCAGTCACAGAGTGTAACAACCTCATAATAACAGTCACAAAGTATAACAACAGTCACAGAGTATAACAACAGTCACAGAGTATAACAACAGTCAAAGAGTATAACAACAGTCACAGAGTATAACAGCAGTCACAGATTATAACAACAGTCACAGAGTATAACAACAGTCACAGAGTATAGCAACACAGTATAACAAGTTACAGGGTATAACAAAAGTCACAGTATAACAAGAGTCACAGAGAGTAACAACAGTCACAAAGAGTAATCACAATGGTATCTGAAGTAGTTCCAGCGGGGAGAGGGGGGGGAGTTTCTCCTGCTGACGCTAGTGGCTGGAACGCCTTGAAGAATCTTTTGACTTGACTTCGCGCAGATCTGTGGTAATATTTTACTGAGGTCGTTCAGAGGGCGTTCCCAGGCGCTCGTTCATCTTGTCACTTTCTGCTGAGGTGCTCGTTTCTTCTCTCCCTCCCCCCCTGGGTCTTATCTGCTATTCCTCAGCTGTTTCGAGCCACTCAAAGTACTCTCTCTCTCTCTCTCACTCTCTCTTTCTCTCTCTCTCTCTCTCTCTCTCTCTCTCTCTCTCTCTCTCTCTCTCTCTCTCTCTCTCTCTCTCTCTCTCTCTCTCTCTCTCTCTCTCTCTCTCTCTCTCTCTCTCTCTCTCTCTCTCTCTCTCTTGCAATGAACCGGCGCGTCTAGGTCGACGTGTCAACTCAGTAGCTCCTAGATTTATATATCCCAATCGAGCCGAGAATTAAATATTCCAGTCGCTCCTAGATTTAAATTACCCAGTAGCGACGTGGTTTAAATGACATAGTCGCACCTAGATTTAAATGTTCCAGACGTGGTGGTTTCATCTTAAGGGGAGGAGTACCTAGATGCTAATGAAGGGCTCTTGATCCACGAAAATCGAGCTACCCCTCCTCTTATAATAACGATTATTACCATTATTATTTTAATTAGTAATGTAAGACTATTTGCGTATTCTCCATTGCCTTTGTGGATGGTATTATTCTTATCCATTTGATTTTAAAGCCTCTGTATTACGGAGAAATTTCCTTAAACACGGAAATTAGTTTTCTTAAGATGCTGGGAAGATGCGAACCAGGAAATAGCTGACGTCAACGTAAAAAGAGATTAAAAGATCCTCTTTGCCTTCGTTGCCCCACCCTCCTTCCCTTCCCATTACGGGAATGTAGACTGGAAGCATGTCTGAAGAATATGGCTCAACCTTCCAGAGCCTGGTGAAGATTATGTAGTCTTCCAGAGCCTGACGAAGATGATGTAGCTTTCCAAAGCCTGGTGAAGATGATGTGGCCTTCCAGAGCCTGGTGAAGATGATGTGGCCTTCCAGAGCCTGGTGAAGATGATGTAGCCTTCCAGAGCCTGACAAAGATGATGATGTAACTTTTCAGAAAATGGTGAAGATAATGTAGTCTTCCAGAGCCTGGTGAAAATAATGTAGAGTTGCAGAGCCTAGAGAAGTTAATGTATCTGTCTTTCAAACCTTAAGGAAGATGATGCTGCTGTCTTGCAGAGCCTGAAAAGAATATTGCAGCTTCCTCCCAGCTCCTGGAAAGAATGTTGTAGCTTCCTCCCAGTGCCTGGAAAGGATATTCCAGCTTCCTCCCAGCGCCTGGAAAGGATATTCCAGCTTCCTCCCAGCGCCTGGAAAGGATGTTGTAGCTTCCTCCCAGTGCCTGGGCATAATGCTGGTACATCTCTCCCGGAGTCTCGTACTTCTTACAGTGTTCCAGTGCCTCGATGCCACTGTAAGATACAGGTTTCGCTAATGTTACGAAGTATAAGAATCATTGCTTCTAACAATAATCGAGACAAATGACTGGATTTTTTTTTTATCAAGGTATGGACGTGCGTTGAATTCACGATGTAGCCTGCACTAGCCTGTCTTTCTAGCTATTTGCCTTTTAGCTAGCATGAGAGAAGTTACTCTTCTTACTAAACTTTCTAACTCCTTGATGAACTTGTGTCGGCCTGGATGTTATACGTAGGAGTATCAAAGTGAATAAAAGTTATTTTTGAACGCTATACCTAAACGTGTTTCAAAATATAAAACAGAGAGGGGAAAAAATGTGTGGAGGTTACGCAGTGTGTAGAGGGGAACACCTACACGCTGTGAGAGAAATGCTGCGAGAAACTTGTTCTGACACCGCGAGGGTAGAGTGCGTTAGTGCAAGGATGGAGTACGTCAGTGCGAGATTGGGGTACATCAATGCCAGGGTCGAGTACATCAGTTCCAGGATGGAGTACATCAGTGTCAGGGTGGAGTACATCAGTTCCAGGGTGGAGTACACCAGTGTCAGGGTGGAGTACATCAGTTCCAGGGTGGAGTACATCAGTGTCAGGGTGGAGTACATCAGTGTCAGGGTGGAGTACATCAGTGTCAGGGTGGAGAACATCAGTGTCAGGGTGGAGTACATCAGTGTCAGGGTGGAGTACATCAGTGCCTGGGTGGAGCACATCAGTGTCAGGGTGGAGTACATCAGTGGCAGGGTGGAGTACATCAGTTTGCAGGGTGAGGTACATCAGTGCCAAGGTGGAGTACATCAGTGTCAGGGTGGAGTACATTAGTGTCAGGGTGGAGTACATCAATGCCAAGGTGGAGCACATCAGTGCCAGGGTGAAGTACATCAGTTCCAGGGAGGAGTACATCAGTTCCAGGGTGGAGTACGTCAGAGCCAGGGTGGAGCACATCAGCGCCAGAGTTCAGTACGTCAGTTCCAGGGTGGAGTACATCAGTGTCAGGATGGAGTACATCAGTGACAGGGTGGAGCACATCAGTGCCAGGGTGGAGTACATCAGTGCCAGGTGGAGCCCATCAGTGCTAAGGTGGAGTACATAAGTTCCAGGGTGGAGTGCATCAGTGCCAGGGTGGAGCACATCAGTGCCAGGGTGGAGTACATCAGTTCCAGGGTGGAGTACATCAGTGCCAGGGTGGAATACATCAGTGCCAGGGTGGAGCACATCAGTGCCAGGGTGGAGTACATCAGTTCTAGGGTGGAGTACATCAGTGCCAGGGTGGAGCACATCAGTTCCAGGGTGGAGTACATCAATTCCAGGGTGGAGTACATCAGTGCCAGGGTGCAGTACATCAGTGCCAGGGTGGAGTACATCAGTGCCAGGGTGGAGTACATCAGTGCCAGGGTGGAGTACATCAATTCCAGGGTGGAGTACATCAATTCCAGGGTGGAGTACATCAGTGCCAGGGTGCAGTACATCAGTGCCAGGGTGGAGTACATCAGTGCCAGGGTGGAGTACATCAGTGCCAGGGTGGAGTACATCAATTCCAGGGTGGAGTACATAAGTGCCAGGGTGCAGTACATCAGTGCCAGGGTGGAGAACATCAGTGCCAGGGTGGAGTACATCAGTGCCAGGGTGGAGTACATCAGTTCTAAGGTGGAGTACATCAGTGCCAGGGTGGAGCACATCAGTTCCAGGGTGGAGTACATCAATTCCAGGGTGGAGTACATCAGTGCCAGGGTGGAGTACATCAGTGCCAGGGTGGAGTACATCAATTCCAGGGTGGAGTTCATCAGTGCCAGGGTGCAGTACATCAGTGCCAGGGTGGAGTACATCAATTCCAGGGTGGAGTACATCAGTGCCAGGGTGGAGTACATCAATTCCAGGGTGGAGTACATAAGTGCCAGGGTGCAG